AGCTGGATTACAATGTTATATTCTGTCCTGCTGGGAAGTACTTGTTAGATTTCTCTCTCAGAACAAACTGTAAAATAAACTAACCTTTTTCACTTTCTCATTTTAGGGACTATTGGATTTTTTGCCTGCTTCTGGTTTGTAAGTAAGATTTACAGTGTTGTGAAAGTGGACTGAAAAGCTTCAAAGTGTCTTTTGAACATATCTCCCTTGCTGTTTGATAATTTTTACCATGTATTGAAAAACATCCTGTGTAATTATTCTAATTTGTAAAAGCTGAAGACCAGACTACAGCATAAAATACAGATTTTTATGGAAGGAAATGGCACCATTGCCATTTTGATAAAAACAAAAATGTTGGTATACTCATTGAACATGTTCATTGTAATAATTCAGAAATTATATCCAGAATTTGATTTAGGACAAATAAAAATTCTGTGAACTGGTTTATTTGAAAAATGTGTGCAGTCCTCCAGCTGAATTTTCTTGTGATTTGGGGGGGGGTTTGTTACCTCTTTTGGTTACCATTTATATACCATTAAAGCATAGGACTGTCAAGTAAATCTATATAAAATGTGAATTTTTTTAACTTAACTATGATTGTACATATTATCCTGCACCTTCTTTACAACTAGGTATCTTCTTACAAATGTACATGCATTTAGTTTAAGGTAGACTTTATTAAAAATATCGACACTGGTTTTTGTTCAAATAAAACTGCACAACTCTGTCTGACTTGTTTCCCTTCTTATTAATTAGGCCTTCACTGCTTGGGCACAGATCACATTAGTTTGACCAGTTGATACTTTTTGAGATGTGTATTGTTTATAAGCAGTTTGACTGTGGTTTTGGCTGCAGATTATCTGTGCAAGCAGGACTGGTGGGTCACTTGGCTGGAGGATGGGCAGGGGCCTCTGAACTTACTCAGCTCTGTGGTTACTCTGCTTTCCCCAAAATATTTTTTGCTGGACAAACCATCATTTTCTGTCAAAGATCAAAGCCTTTTTCCTTCTCTTAGCCCTCTGAAACATCCATCTCCTTGTTCTTCATCCTGTGAAGATTGATGCAGCTTGTTGGGAAGTTTAGCTGTGAATCTGATGGGTTTGGGGAATGGGTGTTTCATAAAGGTGAAGCCTTTTTCCTGCTCTGCAGAGCTTGTGCTTAAGTGCTGGATTACATGAGATGGAGTATCTTAATAGCCTCTTCAGCTTTAGAATTGCAGGGATTCTTCTCTCGGGAATGTCAAGGCTTTAAAGAGGCTCCCCAAAATCTCGAATCGCACTTGAAGCTGAGCAGAGTCACTGCAGACACATAATTCCAATGGCTGTGTCACGGATGCCGTTGGAGATGAGTAGGGGGATGTTCACTCGGATTAATGGGTGAGAGACTCGAAGCTTATTAACTGGCATATGGAAACATTCATCGCTGGAAGCTGCTTTGCACCATCTAAGCCTACAATTTAACAGGACCCAGAATGACTCTGTATCTCTTCATAGTCATATAAATACCAGGTAATTGTAGTTAAATGTTTAACACCCTTTCCAAAATGTAATCTTTGGTATGAGGACTTCAGGTCTGCCCTCTGTGTAGTTATTCCTTCCAGGTTACTGAACTGTTGGGACAGATCACCTAAGCTGGGATGAGTACCAAGCCACATCTTTTGAGCAGTGCCTGTGGCATAAAAGTGAGGCTTTAGGCAATTTAATAAAGAGAACCAAGCGCTGGTGTACCAGGAGGAGCTGGTACAGTAGTTTCCAGTGAGGTTCAGGTGTGCTCTTGATGGCAGCTTGGCCTCGCAAATATTTTCCCCTCCTACCAACAGAATCTCCATTTCCCTTCTGTTCTCTCCCAGAGGTGGGAAACAACAGAGTTGCCATCAGAGAAATCAGCTTGTGGTTGGTTATGAGCTGGTTCAAGAGCACCAGTCACTCTATTAGAGGTTTCATGCTCTTGAAATTGGTGCTGCTGTGTTTATAAAGGTCCTTCCTTATAAATCTTATATTTAAAGTTTGGGGAGATTTTATTGAATACTTAAAAAAATAAATTGTTACATGAAGCTGCTTTTTAATTTTTCATGTTCAAAGGGAAATGAATTCATGAGAGAATTGGAGCTACAGTTGCCATAAACTCCCAGCAGGATATTTTGCCGGATTAATAAATATGCATTTCACAAGAGGCAAAGTAAAATGGGTTGTAAAATTGTATTTATGGTGCTTTTACTGTTACTGCTAGTGAGCTAAAAAGTAGAAAGTGGGTTTAAGAGGTTTCTGAAGCTTGCTAGTAGTCCAGAGTCAAAGCCATGAAGTAAAATTTGGTTGTCAAGCTTTTAGCAGAGAACTTTTGTGTGTGTGTGTGTAATAGGCCCTATTTGTGTAAATCTGGCATAATTCATTGTTTTAACATTGTTTTCTGATATCTTTTTTTGACCAAGGAAAACCTGCCAACTGTCTTTTGGCTTGGTAGTAATAGAGAAAGCCCCTAGGCTGTAAATTCAATACAGATGGTTCTGAGCACTTACCAGTTGAAAGGTGGTGTAAGCCCTAACCAGAATGTAGTAGACAAACTTCTTAATTTTAGTTTTGTTGAGCACAGGATGAGCATTCTCAGCACCTTTGGGAGGTTTTTAACTATGAGTAAAGGTCTTGTCCACTCTGTTGAGAGTGATGGGTTTTGAAGATGAAATGGTCATTATGGGGACATGAATGTTCTAAGTACATGGATTATCAGTAAGTGGTGCCTTGATATCTAATCTGTTTTATATTAATTTATGAATAATAGTTGTCACATGGAAATAACCATTATTTATCTACTCTCATGAGAACAGGCTTAGTAAAGATACTTGTTGCAGATACTTGAGCCTTCCTTCTCTCTCTAAAAAAGAAAAAAATTGGGCTAAGTTTCAGCTTTTCTGAAGTGTGTGTATAGACATCTACATTGCATTTTTGTGATGCTTCCAGTAATAGATGAGGTAAAACATCTTCCGTGTGAGGCTCTCTGGTAATAACCACCCAAATCCAGCAGACTTTGTAGAATGTCACGTTTGTCATATTTTAAGTGAAACTTGACAAGTTACAACAGAACCTCAAAGGCAGGAGGGATTTCTGTGCTGATGTTTTACATTTCATTCCACTTGCTTGATCAGTGTTGAACAGAGAGAGCCTCATCGTCATTCCCAAGTGGAAGTGCCAAGAACATGGAGATGTACAGTGAGGAGGGGAGGTGTGTGTGTGGGATCCACGCCCACACCTGTGGGAACCTCCTCGAGGACTGGGAATGGTGCTGCTCTGCGGGAGCTGGGAACACGAGGCACATTCCTGACGAGTTGTGATGGAGGGATGTTTGATGAACAGCAATAAACTCGTCTGCAGTGGGTTGCTTGATGTTCCTTATACCAGTTGTGCTTTTGTGTTTGGTAACACATTCCCAGTTCACATTTAAAATCTGTCTCCTAATTAAGTTATGCTGATAGCTCGACTGTTTACAGAGATCTGTTGCAAAGGACGGGGAGAGAGGAAATCTAAATCAAATTCAGATGCAGTTAAATGCTGGTGTAGACATGGGATTGCTTCTGGGACCTGTGAGATCTTGAACAACAATCACCACCTGAAGATCCAGCAGTGAAAATCACACATGAATTTAAAAAAAAAAAAAAAGAATGTTAAGTGGTTTGCATTGTAAGATTTGGGATCAAGGTCTGTGACTGCTGAAGTGAATGGGAAAAGTTTTCTCATGTCAGTCACAAGCCATAAGAAAAGGGTGATTCTTGGATGTGTGGTGTCCTCTGTAGTCTTCCACCAGACGTCCCGCTGTCCAGTCCCATTCCCATGAGCTGTATCACCAAAACCAATGAATATGGCATTAAAGTTCAGTATGGGGGTGTTGCTGTTTCTCTGATGACTGTGATATCACTTTGCATTTTCACTTGCAAACAGGACTGAAATCACTGCATTTCTACAGAACAACTGCTGCTGCTTCCAGGCTTAAGAATGGAGAGATGAAGCTGCTGTGCTCTTCAACTGCAATTGTAACTTTAATTCAACTAAACTTAGATTTAAATCTTAAAAACAGTGTCTGCTAAACTCATGTCCTGGAGCTGAGTGATTTCAATATTCCTATTTTTTTATTAAATATGATCTGACCACTAATCATTATTTTTAGAAAATATGTTTTGGGCGGTGTGGGTGGCTTTGGGTTCTGTGGCCTCAATTTTCCCTTTCTCTTTCATGCCTGGGGACACCACTTTGCCCTGAGCAGAGCTCCTTTTGCCAAAAACATGTGAAAAAGGGTCTGACCTCATTTCCCAGAGCTCTCCAGTGCACTGCTGCAGGAACTGAGCCCAGAACAGATCCGGGGGGGCACAGCCCTTGCTGCAGGTGTCTGAGGGACCGTGTACATGAGAAGCAATCAAACTGTTTTAGCCTCTTCATTGAGACCAAAGTCACAATTTGCCCACGGTGTGATTTAGTTGTGGAGGACAGTCAGTTTTATGGCAAAGACTGGGTGGGAAAGGGCTTAACAACAGCCTAGGCTTTCCCTAAGATAATAAGCAGCAATGCAACTCTCCTGGAGACATGGTTCATCCTTCTTAGTACGGCTTCTTTGCACCCGGCTGGGATGTCTTTGACTTTGCTGGGATAAAAGCAGGATGGATTTCTTTCATGTTCTGTTGAGAGATGCTGCAAGCCTGTACCCAAAACTTCAGGTCAGGGTCACCATCTATTTTGGCATCCAAAGTAGCTGTGGTTCAGGAGTTCACAGTTTGGCACTTCATCCTCCTAATCTCGGTGCCTCTGAGTTACAGGCTGCACACACTAATTAACTTTGCTCATACAAACTGGGAGCCCTCAGACTTTCTGTGAAGTTATTAGTGCCAGGGTTTTTATAGATAACATTAGCGTCTGCAGAATTTACCCAAGGTAATTTATGTTGTATTTGCAACTTGGGGAAAGCTCTTAGATGTCTGACATCATAAAACAGTAAAACTGGGAGATTTATTACAGGGACAGAGAGAACAGGGCCCTTGAGCTGCTTTGTTTATCATAAAACGTCGAGTTAATCAGACGTGCACATGTGCCTCCCATATTTCCTGGTTTTGTTTCCCTCCTGTGCTGCTCCTTGACAATCTTTGCAGTAGATGAAAAGTCCTGGGAGCCCTGGCAGAAGTCCTTTGGACTCCACAGGATGAGAATTACATTTGTATGTTCAGGGGTTGCTTATCTCCCTCTATTAATAGAGAAGAAACATATGCAACTGAGCTCTCCATGAGGCTGAAACTTCTCCTGGAGAAGGGCAATACAGGAAATCCCAGGAGCACAGCTGGGGAGTGGATTGAGAGCTGATGCTCCTGGACTGCATTGGAGCTCTCAGTGAGATGTCAGCACCTCAAAAACACTCATCCCAAAGGACGGTGAACTGCAAGTAAAAAGATATACAGTAAAGAAACCTCACTTTTCAGAAAGGGAACAGGAATGGCTGTGCGGGGAAAGCTGGAGCTTGGTGGCTCACAAAAACCCCAGCAGGTGGGAGCATTGGGGCATCATGGCCAGAGCCTGGTCAGCAGAAGGGAGCTGGGGAGGACAGCTCAGAGCTGGGTGTCCTGGCTGCCTTAAATTTACTCACTAAGACATTCTCTACTGCCTGGAAAGCTTTTCCCACTGCTGCCCTGAAATCCCTGTGACTGCCACAGCCCTGCCTCATGGGTTTTCTGCAATACTGATCTGAGTGATATCTGGGTATTTTAGAATGGTTTGCAGGGAAACACTGTCACCTTGGAGGTGCTGTGACCAGCAGAGAGAATGGTTTTCCCAAACTCTGCAGAAGCTGCAGCTGCACTTGGCTCGGCTCATCCAGCAGATGCTGCTCATGCCTTTACATTCACAGGTGCTCACTTTCCACAGCCTGGATGTGCTCTCGAGGTTAAACTTAATCCAGATTAGGAGACAAGACATCAGATTGGAAGGGGGCCATCAGATTGAAAGGGGCCAATATGTGGTTTTCCCTGCAGGTTAGCATGGAGTAGTTTTTCCAGCAAATGTCCTACAGTTGCTGGCCCTGGGTGTCTCAGGATGATCTCCATCCTGCCTGCTATAGCTACTGTTTCTTGGTCTGCCTTCTATTTGCCACGAACATGTGAGGTGCAACAAGTAGATGTTTTCTGATGCTTCCAGGCAGCAGCAGGAGAGACCCTCTGGGTTTCTCAGTGGCAGTGGTCTGTGAGCAGAAAGAGAACTACTGTTAGCATTGCAAGGGTCCTGTGATGTTCAAGCAGGGTGAAATGGCTATGTGTGGCCAGACATCCCTCTGGGAGCAGTGCAGATGGGAAGTGGGGTCACACAGCTGACCATGAGTCCTCAGGCTCCACACAGCCTCAGCTGGCTTCCAGCTTTCTCCTGTCTCTCCAAACACCTCCTTTGGAAGCTGCATCATCGGGGAAGCTTTGGTTAAGAAGGAGGGGAAAAGAAGGCAGATGCTTTATCTGAAACAGCTGCCTGTCATCCTGTGTGTGCTGCAGGGTGAGCTTGTGCTGTGGGGAGTCTTGTGGGAATTAGGGAAGCTGAAGCAGAGGTAGAGTAAAAGCAGGTAAAATGGTCTAGCACGTGTCTCGGGGGGCTGTGTGGACAGCCTTGTGCAGGGCAGGCTGGGGGAGCTGTGCTGCTCCAGCCTCCGAGCGGGAAAGCAGAGAACTGGTGGAACTGGTGGTGATTGCACAGCTGAGGGTGGTTAAGCAGCACAGCCCATAAGACCCTTTAACTTTGCAGGGTTGTTTGGGCTTTCAGGTGTGGTGAGGAGGGGCGTTGGGGAAGGCTGTGTGTACTGGGCTGTTGGCTGGAGCATCTGCTGGTCCTCGATCCCAAACTGCAGAACAAAGCGTGAGTTAAACAAACCACAGTTATTGAACTTCCCCTCTCTGAGGGATGGGGGGGAAGGGGTGTTTGTGGCAGTAACTGCAGTGATGTTGCCTTGAGGTAGAGGTTTTCTGGGCAGAAGTGGACTGTGTGGTCATGTGGGAGGTGGGAGCTGGTTTCTGAGGCTCCCTTGGAGCATGGAGTGTCTCTAGGCAGGACAGTGGCTGTGCTGTGGTGTGTCCCAGCTGTGTGTTCCATAGGCTGTGATGTCACTGTCACAGCAAGCTGTTACAGACTGGGTCCCTCCAAAGGAGCTGGCAAATATATGCTGTCTGGAAAACAGCAAGACCCTGGTGCTGCAGGACTCTGAAGTGGGGTAACAACTTCTCCTGTGCTTAACAGAGACCAAATGATTTCATGGTGAAGTGTCCAAATAGGGAAATTTAAAGCAAGGAATGAAACCCTGTCAGTGCCCCTCATCAGCTGGGTTTTTCTGTTTGGGTGCCTTGGGTATAAAACCAGGAGGATGGCACCTGTCCCATGGCTGCAATGTTTGCCCCTCAGAGGTGGCTGGATGTTGCACTTGGTGCCAGGCTGGGATTGCCCAGGAGAGGCTATTGGGGCATGTGTTCTGTTTATCTTCTCTCCTGTCACCTTGTGGCCTATGCTGTCTCTGGGGAAGACATGTCTGCATTGTGTTTGGGGCTGGACTTTGTGAAAGGGCTGTGGGCAGAGAGAACTCCTGCAGACCCTGTAGAACAGTGTTGTGTTGGGTGATGTAGGGAGGAAGATGTCTTTTACCTCCCAAATTTGTGACTCAACCCCAAACCAGCCTGACTAGAGGTGTCCAGGCTTCAGAAACAAGCTCCCTGTGTACAAAAATTGCACGTCAGTGCTGATCCACTTACCCAGCTCCTCGAGATCTTGCCACAGGGAGTGTGGAACCAGACTTCTTTGCCTTTTTACCTCCCTCTTATTCCAGCTCTGAATGGCTCCCAAGTTTCCTCCCGTTCTTTCCCTTAATGAGTTGTGCTGCACTGGGACAGACGTCTTGGCTGAGAGTGTCTAATTGCTGGAGTAAGGATCAAACACCCATTAGAGTGTTTGCTACTAATTAATTATTGCTTGTCACAGCTGGGAAGTGGAAGGGCTCCACTGTAGTGTAACAGGCTTACTGGAGCTAAATAAGTCCCTGTTATTTACCTGAAGGCTGGTGGTTACTCACTGCTTATAGTGCTGGTCTTCTGGGTACTTGGGGAGCCCTGAGCCTGTGTCATAGTCTTCCTTTTTTCCCTAGTTGGTTGGGTTTTTTTTTTTTTTTGCAAACTCTTGGTGTTGCTTGCTCATCTTGAATGTTTTTAGTTGGTTTAAAAATGGATGGTGTCTCCCTTACTAATCAAATCTTGCTGTGTAGGATACCTCAAAGAACTAATTAACCTGCCAGACTGCTCAACAACATTGCAAAGAGATTTCTTGTAACTAAATACAGGACATATCTGCTGGCTAGTTTGCTCGGTTTTAATTTAGAAAAGGTGGAAAGCTGGTGGGGAGAAGAGGAGAAATCTGTGCATCCAACGGGAGGACTGATGGTTGACAACCACGCAGTGGTGATTTATGGCTGGGTAATTTTCCAGCTGCCATAGTTTGTGTTAGCTCAAATGAGAATTGATGGCAGTTTGAGTTAATAGCCGATGCAGTGAGGGCCTGGCACATGGTAGCTTTGATCTCCTCTGCCACAGGAGCAGACACTTCTCAAACCACCCAGGCTTGGCTGCAAAACCCAGAGGAGTGGGAGGGCTCCAGCTGTGTGGAGGGATGGGCAACTGGGAGAAAGGGAGGAAAGTGTGAGTGGATCCAGACAAGACTCCAGCTCGTGCAAACACATCAGTGTGTGGTCCCCAAACTGGGTGTTGCACTCTCTATAAGGTGTTACTGTTTTCTCACTGAATTAATTTTCAGTTTTAGCACTGATAAACAGAGAGGTTTATTCCAATGTTGTTTGTTTTCAATAATTAAGAGGGCAAATAAGACAATTTCTGGGAAAGTGCATTTTTTATAGCATAAATAGTCTTTGTTTTGAGATTTTCCCATGTCAGAGTTCTTCAGTGGCTCTCATTAGGAAATACACCTCATGCCAGCCTTTGACAAGTGTCAGTGAGAGGAGTGTAGCCTAGCAGGAAGAGCCTAAAATATTTCAATATAAATTATTTACCTCAAAAGTTTACTCTCTGAATGTTTCTTGCCACGGTACCTGACTAATTACCATGTTATCAAAGGAGTGTGCAAACCTGTAAGCCGTGGTGTTTGGAGTGGCTTGACAGATAAGCCTTTCTGACAGGAATAGCTGTAACTTGCTATTATCAGTCTGGTTCACTTTTGAATTTTGAATTACTTTTTTTTTAAAAAACCAATAGTTGGTTTTATGTAAACTGCTCAGAGATTAGGAGTTGATTTCAAAGATCATCCTCTATAAAGTCCCTTGATCATATTTTATGGTTCTTCTGACTCACGGGTGTAATCTTATATCCCTGGGATATTCATGACATGCTCATCTAATTCCCCATGGTTGCTAATCTCACTTCTGTACCTTAAAAAAAAAAAACCTAAAATATCTTTAAAGCAGGACTGGTAAAAAGGCAACTTTTACAGCCAATCTTCAGCTCCAATTGCTCCTGCTGGGGAAGTCATAATGATGAATTTGTGACATAATTTCTGTGGCAACATGCTGGGATTTCATAAATGGGGATGGTGATTATAGAGCAGGATCAGGTGAAGCTGGATTGTGATGGAAAAAGCCCCAATTCAAATGCAAATTGTTCAATAATGGCATAGGGGATACCAGAAATTACTGGCAATTTATTTTATTTGGGTTAAGCTCCTCATTCAGTCTTCTGCAGTTGTAAAGTCACTCTTTTAAGGATGTGAGCAAAAGAAATGGCTGGAAAACATATTTTTCTCCTCTCAAGAGAACAAAATTGTCCTAATTTAATAATAATTAATCAGTTAGTGTAATTAATAAGGATGTTCTCTATTTCTATGATTTCTCCCATTCAACACTCTCCAAGTACTTCACAAACCCTAATTGATTCCACCTTACTACTCCCTGTAGCAGGACCACATAATTTACCTCATTTTCTGGAGACAGGGAGGTGTGTGTGCCAGGCAAATTGATTTAACCAGGTTAAATGATTTGCCCAAGGCCAGACAAGGAGCTGAAGTCAGGACAGATCTGTGTTTCAGAGATCAGCCTCTACCCAGTTGGATTTTGTCTATGGGACAATGGGTGCAGCTCTTGCAAGGCCATGCAAGTGGTGGCCGTGCAGTTGCAGCCTCTGAATAAATCTGGAGGATTTCTGGTGTGTAGTACTTGGAGCTGGGAACAAGTCCCATGGGCACACATCAGCAATGAAACCAGCTAAATTGGCTTTTCATTAGTTATTCTCACTGAAATTGGAAGCAACTTGGTTTGTTTTTTGGATTTTCTTTTTCCCCCTTTTTTTTTTCCCCTTTCTTTTTTTTTTCCCTCCAAATCACTTGGAATTTAAACTCTTTAGCTGAGGATTAAACTAATTGCTTCTGCAAAATGCTGTTCCCACACCATCTAGTGTACATCTGTTAACTGGGGAGGGATAACTGAACCAGCTGCCAGATGGTCTCTTGGATTTGGGTGGCTGGGAGCCAGGGAGCTGCCAGTTGGCGGTTTGTGGGGTTCTAGCAAAGAAGTCACGCTACGTGCACATTCCCCTCGGTTACTCCTCTCTGCCTTAATGAAGATACTGACTAATGCAATAAAGCAGCCATTAGCCCCCTCCCTGCACTCCCTCCTCCCCAAAAGGGGTGAGTTTATAAGCCTGATTTGTCTGACTGAGGCAGGCTTTTCCAGGAGCTCGGGTTCTCCGCACGCTATGTGTGCAAAGGCACTTTCTCAGGTACACCAGGTATTCAGTCCCATGCCTGCCAGCTGCCTCTTTCCATGCCATAGTGGAAAGATGCTCTTGCCACAAATCTGCTGTTTGAAAGGGGGTTTTACCTTGATAGGTAGAAACCCAAAAAATCATTGCTTAGCCTTGAATATTGAATGACACATCTATAATACACATCACACTGACCATTTTAAAAACTTCACCCTGAGGGCTGGATGCTATGCTTTATATTTTAAAAGCATGTAATATTTACCCATGCTTGGAGGAGGACATAGCCCTGCTCTGCTGAAAAGAAATGTTATGTCGTAGTCTGAAGAGACTGTTCATAGTAGGGTAACACTGGTGCCCTTGGCCACAGGTCAGAACATCTTTCCCAGGACTGGGACAGAGCTTGGGATCCCTAGAGGTGACAGCTTGGTGGTGTATTTTGCGTGGGACTGCTGCAGTGGGACAGCCATGGCATCCAGAACCCAGCCCAGGCACAGCCATGGCATCCAGAACCCCACCTGGGCATGGACTTTGCTCTGTTTCTGAACATTCAGAGGTAGACAGGGGTGGGAATTCTATCTGATAGGTGCTGCAGTCACTCCCAGGTGTGGAACAGCCCCAGTCTGAAGCACTTTGGAGTGGGAAGGGGCACCCCATGCTGCAGGTGCAATACAGAGGAGGCAGAGAGCAACACCCTGAGCTGGTGGCCAGCTTGGACTGAATTCCACTTAGACTTTGTGCCAGGGAGGTTTCTTCTTTAGGACACATGTCTTTGCCTGATCTCCATGAAAAGCCAAAGCTGCCTGCTGGGGTAGTAAAGGACAGAGCTGGGGGCAAATCCAGTTTTACAGTGATGTTTTTCTTTTGGCAGAGTGTGTATTTACTGAGAAATATTAGGTTTATGTGACTTACACTGAGCACTGCAGTGTACTCAGCTAAATCCCCTGCAGTGTAAGTACTCCCCAAGCCACGATGCCATTACCTTCCTACCTTGGCTGATGAATCCTACCCTCTGCCATATCCTGTGCACTTTTCTACTTAGGAGGCTGGGCCATTTGGCTCCATTAATGGTGGGTTTAGATGCATTGCGAAGCAATTGCTGGTGCTTTGAGAGGTGAATTTATTTTTTCTCAAAAGGAGTTTGGCAGGGGGCAGAAGTGGTGTGTGCCCTCAGGGCTGGTCAAACGCAGTTTGCAAACCTCTCCAGGGTGGAGTGGATCTCCTGGCATTGCAAAGCAGTGACTGTTTCCCTGCGTGGTCTGTGCCCACGGGGACAGCTGAGAACG